TTCAAGTTTGGAAAAAAAAAATGTGTTGTTTGTAGTTAGGTACCATATAATTAGCTGGCTAATGTGTCGAACTTATTTTAAATGTTAATTTCATGTTGGACTGTATTAAAATCTCTTAATTTTTTTTTTTAAATGGTTCACTTTAACGTAATAAATTGGGTCGACAAGTGTTATATTAAATTAGCTTTTTTAAGAAAACAAATTAAATACTAATTAATTTTTAATATTTAAAATGGATTTTGATTTAATCCTATTTTTGTTCCATACTAATCTTTAAATTAATCATTACTTTATATTATAAAAATCTGAATTAATATCAAATATGTTTGGAGAAAGACAGATTTGAATATTTAGAAATTTAAGGCGTTGTGTATCTTTCAGGGAGAATGTTATATTTACAAACTTTTTATTTACAAACTATACTAAGTATAACCAGTCATATTTCAATTAAGAATGTATGACCGGTCATACTTAGTGTAATTTGTAAAATAAATTGTAAACCGATCCTTATCTATTTTTCCGTCCTAATCCTTGGTGTGATCGATAAGGTGTATCGTTTATTTTCTACACTCTCCCATTGTCCTTATTGTTGTAGTGTTTTACATTTATAATGAATTTCACAAATATAGTCGTGAAATGAATTTCTTAAATTAGGGATGATCGATTATTAGGTAAATTCATTTACCGAAAAAAAAAATTCATTTTCAAGATAGCAATTTTAGAAATTTAACTTTTTGACATTACAGGCAATTATTACAAGTTGAATCACGTTAACAGTGCAAATCGTACATAGTTTAAATGGTCCAAGTGACTGATTGAAATTTGATACTTGCTATGAAACCAAAATTGAGGAAGTGATGAATGGAACCTTGTCCTCAATTTTGGCAAGCGCTTCTTGAACCACAACCAGATGTTAAAATAGGTCAAACTCAAGGCTCGACTTGGGCCAAACTGTTTGGCCTGAACTAACTTGGGCCAGCCCACAATGGGCTAAGTTGGTTTACAAGCTCAAAAATTGTTAAAATCGAGTATTTGAGTTAATGATTTTGTAAAGTTTATTTAAATGTCATTCTAAAACAAAATCAAGCTCAAAAGCTTATTTGTCAATTATTTGCAATTTTCAAGTATAGTAGCTATAGCTACGCTTTTTTATACTGATTCTAATTATCTTTTTAAGGTGAGTCGTATATCGGGTATTCCTCACAAGCTTCAACTCAGTTGACTATGAGATTAATTTTGAGTCGGGATTTAGTCACTATTAAAATTTTTCGTCTATATCAAAGATTGGTGAGAATCGAATTCTCGTTCTTTTCCCATCTACTCGATACACTCGTTGGGTAGCTATAGGCTATAGCCATGTTCTTGATATAGCTTAAAACGATCCTATATTTTTTAATTCTTTTGTTTTTAATTGAGAAGATACCTAGTTTGAACTAATCGTGAATTGTCCTCTAAAAATAATATGACATGAATAAAGGTAATGGGATAACAACAATAGCTAGCTAGCTTGTATTAAACTGATGCTATAACTAGTGGTGTCAATATAGGTTATGACATGTGGGTCGACCCGCGACACGACACGAAAATTTGTGTTCGAGTTGATCTGTAAAAAAATTCATGTAGTGTTCGTGTTGAAAAAAATGACTCGTAAAAAATTTGTGTCGTGTTGACACATATTTTTTTTAACTTTTTTTTTTATTATTTTTTAATTTTGAACCATTTTTTAATTTTTTTTTGTCAATTACCGTTTTGACCCCTATTTTGCATGTTATTCGTGTTGTGTCGTGTCAATCCGTAAAAAATCCGTGTCTTGTCAGTGTTGAAGATATTGACACGAATAAAAATTTGGGTCGTGTTAGTGTTGATGTATTCGTGTCGTGTCAAATTCGTGTCGTGTCAAGCCGTTTTGACACCATTTAATGTAACGATTCTTGAAACTTTATTTATATTTAATGACTAACGAATATTCCAAATGTGGCTTAGCCGGAAAATATATCCGTATTCTGAAATAAGTTAAATAACTGATACACACAAATGATAGTGACATGTTTCCATAAAAAAAAATGATAGTGACTATTTAACTGTAAAAAATATAGAATTAGAAACCAATCAAAGGTGTCACCTCTCAAAAGAATAAAGAAACAAAAAATTAAACAATAATGACGCAGATATATATATACCTTAATAAATATATCTCATCCTAATGTTAAATCTTAAAAAATAAAATTCAATTTTTTAAAAAAAAATTGACAACCAAGATATTAGTCTTTTAGAAATTAAAATCCTGCCTATAATTCTTAAATAATCATGAACATTAGCCTCATTAATTTTGAACTACGAAACATATAATTCATAATAAGAATTAACATGTTCAATATTGGTGGTTTTTTAAAGAACATGAATGGTTTTAAATTCTTTGAAAATTAATATATCAGCTGTTAAAGTTTTAACAAATAAATTTAAGGGTTTCTCCAAACTTAAAATGATGTCAATTTTTGTATCCAAAATAAAAATATTTTAATTTTTGCAAGATTAAATAAAATAAGAAGGCGAATCAAAACAACAATAAAGTTGTTCATTTATGACTGAAAGGTCATGAGTTCGAATTCAGAAAATAATCTATTTGACTACAATTATATAAAAGTATAACACTGCATACAAAATTTGTCTAGTTGCCTCTACCCCATACTCCCTAAAAGGGTTAAGGGGAAGTGATTTTTGGTTTTTTTTTTTTTTAATTATTAATAAAATAGTAAATCAAATTAGATTTTGATTGATGCATTTTACTAAGGGAAATATTACTTTTTTTTATGTAAGATAACTTCTCTCTTACTCTCTCACTTCAATTTTCGCACCTCACTTTTTTCTTTTTCTTGTAATGATGTAACCCACCTATTTTTTCTCTACAATATAAGATAATTATCTTAGGTAGTGTTTGGTTGGTGAGAAGTGAAAATATGGATGGGTAAGTGCACGTGGGTATCTAATAAAACCACGTTTGGTTGAAGGTTTTCAGTTTCTTTTCCCATCAAAGAGCTTTCCTAGCAAACCAAGAACAGGACCAAAAATCAGATATCTTCACTATTGAGAAAGCGTTTGAAGATGTGGAATTTCTCTTCAAAATCGGATAAGTGAAAAAGCTGATGAATGGCATGCCAAGATTACCCCTATTGTGGTTCGAAGAATGTAATAAAACGGTTTCATTTTTACGATGATAGTTTTGTAATTTCATTAAGTTTTTCCATCAATATTTTATCTTCAACCAAACACATATTCAGAAATTTAATTCAATTTTCCTGGTAAAATTTTGCCCAACCAAATAACTTTTTTAAAACTTTTCTATTTAACTCAATTTTCCTCGAGATTCCTAGTATTTATATTTTCTTAGTATTAAAAATTTTCTCTCCAACCAAACACTATTTTATGCAAAATGAGAATAATAAAAACCTTTTAACTTATTCGTCTTGTCAGCTTTTATTATGAAGGAAAAGCATGTGCTCTTCAAACTGAAAAGTATAATACAGACAATGATTTGCCATATAAAATCCTAGTTTAATTTGAGTGCTCCACGCCAAAGGCCACGTGCAATGAATCACTTTGACTCTACCTCCACCCCAATGGACACATGCACTGAACCACACGCAGGCTTTTTGATACTCAACACATTATCCTCTGCTGTGCCTGTGGACATCACAATTTTCTCAGCACATTTCTTGAAATTCAGGTTGAGATAAATTAGGTGAAGAATGCGAAAACGACTCTTTCATAACTTTTGAACTCCCTCGATCGAATAAGAATTAAGTTTATAATTAAGTGGTTTAAAATAAGTTAAATTATTGGGAAAAGTTCAAAATCTCTCATGATTTTATTTTGAATCAGTTACACTTATATGTTTTATTTTTATTCACTTAATTTTTTAGAATTTTCTCTATTCACACCCCTCTTTTTAACTGTGTTAGAAACTTAACTAAATATATATACTTTATCTTTTTTAGAAAAAGAAAATAAAATGACAAAAAAGAGAGAGAAAAATAAGATCAAATATTATGAAAATTTAAAGCACTTAATAAACGACTAAAAAAATAGAAGAAAAAAAAATATCAAATGTGTCTAAATAAAAAAAATATAAGGACAAAAAAAATATAAGGAAAAATAAGACCATTAAAAATCGCAATAGTGATAGAAAATACTAAAATTAAAAAAATATATATAAATGAAAAAAATTAAAACAAAAAATTAGGATAAAAAAGAAAAAGAATAAAAATAAATCACTGTTGTTGGTTTTCAATATATTTGGTTTTTTGTTGTTGGTCTATTTTATTCTTTTTTTATATACATAAAGAAAAGCTAAAAAGCAGAAAATAATATTTTATTCTATTTTATTTTATTTAGATATGTTTAATTTTTTTCTTTTTTCCTTTTTTTTACTCTTTGGTTTTTCTATCACTATGGAAAGAAATAGAAGAAAAACAAGATACATTGAGTTAAAATTAAATCTTAAAGATTTATTTAGACTTAAAACAAATATTTCCAAATCTTAAAAATCATTTCATTACATAAAATCTAATATTTTATCTTATAAATTCAATCTTCACTATTTAATGACAATTATGATACATTTACTTCTTCAGAATTCATAACAAATTTGGCTTTACTTGTTTGTGTGTACCTAGCCCACCCACCCACCCCAAATCATCATAGTATCCACCGTGGATGGCTATTGAGATCTGGGACAACGTACGTACAATGTAAAACATGTCTTCTTTTTTTTTCTTTTTTTATTGAAAAGACATGTCTTTTCATTTGGTCATCTTTGGTAACACATTCTCAAAGCAAAATTGGTGAAATATTTATTACAATACTGATATACCATTCACTCAGTGTATTTATCTAATAGAAAAATAAAAAATGAGTGTTATAAGGAAAGAAAAATATATTTTATTCAAATATCACTTGTTGAACGAGAGATATATAACACAGAACATGATGTCCTAAATTGGAGTCTCGCACTTGCAAGTGGGAAATAACATAACTTATAAGTGTTAAACTTGAGCAGTGTCTTGCATACTTCAGAGCCTTGAGATCTTCAACCCAATTCATGCATCAATGGCTTCTTTCAAGAGCTTCCTCAAGCAAAGGTCTTCTTCATATGCTGTTGCATGCCACCACCTCATGATGAGGAGATTGTTCTCAACTTCTACTATTATTGATTCTCCTTCTTTGGCTCAGAGAATCAGAGATTTACCAAAGGATCTTCCTGGAACCCACATAAAGAAGCATGTTTCCCAGGTAACTCTCTCTATTTTTCATTACAATCTGATGAGACAACATGCGACTTGGTTTTGATGTTTCTGTTCATTCATACCGTGCCACTTGTGCAACAAATTTTTCACTGCCTATCCAATTCAATCATTTCATCATATGCAAAAAGTGAAAACAAAATTGGAATCAAATTTTTTAAGGTCTTTTTTTGTTTTCGCCATGTGGGGTTGGTTTGAAAAGCTGTCTTATATTCTTAGTATAGATCTTGGGATAATAGCAGCTTAAATTTTGTTTTAGCAAAATCGTGATTATTATTCTGCTACATGATATTAGTAGAATCTGTTGAAGAGAAAACTAAGTTTGAGTTGTCACTAAATTTTTCTATCAGTTTTCTATTTTCTATTTTCTTTTTCTTAACAAAACTTGAAGAAGAAACCACTTTGCATAATAGTTGATGTTTATTTCATTTTTTTCACCATTTTGTTTATTGGAGAATATATTCCAGTGTCACTTATTCAAATATGCTTATATGAAGTTCAACAATTCATTTTTCAGCTCATTGGGAGGACTCCATTGGTTTATCTTAACAAAGTCACTGAAGGATGTGGAGCTTATATTGCTGTCAAGCAAGAGATGATGCAGCCCACTGCCAGCATCAAAGACAGGTCAACCTTTTTGTTGAAATATACAAAACCATTAATATAGCCTCACCTAACACCTTAAGGTTTTGGGTTGAATGAGTTCTTTACATGGTATCAGAGCCTCGGTGTACCGGGTTCGATCCTCACCGTCCCCCACTTTCTTTCTAGTGGAATTTCTTTCTTCACACAGGTAAGTGGGTGTGTGCATTGTCCACCCTTCAAGCTCAATGGGCTCTCGTGTGAGGGGACGTGTTGAGATATATAAAACCATTAATATAACCTCACCCAACAGCTTAAGCTTTTGGGTTGAATTGTGTTAATATATATAAAACCATTAATATAGTCTCGTCCAAGAGCTTAAGCTTTTGGGTTGAATTAGTTCTTTACACTTTTTTTATTTCCAATCCTATTTGAATTTCCTTTTGTTTCTGCTTTGAATTTGATCAGAGTTCATACTATTCTTATATCTTAATAGTAATCAAAGTTCAAGTTCTTATAGAACTTTTGTAATTTTCTTGAGCTGTCACAGACCAGCACTTGCAATGATTGAAGATGCTGAGAAAAAGAATCTGATATCTCCCGGAAAGGTTAGTTGAATTGATTCTGAGCACCAAAATTTTCCCAGTTATTCACATATGGATTCTCATATTTACCTTGATTGATGATGTAGACAACTCTGATAGAGCCTACATCTGGAAATATGGGTATCAGCATGGCATTTATGGCTGCCTTGAAAGGGTATAAGATGGTTTTGACCATGCCCTCTTACACAAGCTTGGAAAGAAGGGTGACCATGAGAGTATTTGGAGCTGAATTAGTCCTCACTGATCCAACCAAAGGAATGGGAGGAACAGTGAAGAAGGCTTATGACCTTCTGGAATCCACACCAAATGCTTTCATGCTGCAACAATTTTCAAACCCGGCCAATACTCAGGTTACCTGAACCTAAATTATTATTTCTGTTTGAAAACTTTTACTAAGAAAAACATCTATCTATAAAAACTATGCATTGCTATACTTGTGCAGTGCTTGGTTGCCCTTAAATTTAATACTAGATATAGTTTTGAAATCCTTGGCATTTGTAATGATGAGTTTATATATATATAATTGACTTCAAAATGGGAAGCAGGTTCATTATGAAACAACAGGTCCTGAGATATGGGAGGATACAAATGGACAAGTTGACATTTTTGTTATGGGAATTGGAAGCGGAGGCACAGTCTCTGGGGTTGGACAATATCTTAAATCCAAAAATCCTAATGTTAAGGTGATGTTCTTCGGAACACAATTCAAATTACAAGCTGAACAGTATTCTGTTAGATTTGCTCATTAAATCCCTTCAACTGTTTTCAATCATATTAGATATATGGAGTAGAGCCAGCTGAAAGTAATGTGCTAAATGGTGGCAAACCTGGTAAAGATCATGCTTTTTTTCTTTGAATATTCTTTTTCAAAGTCTCTAATTTTTTTACATTTCATAGTCATTTCTGGCATTGTTAGTACAGTGATGAAATAATATAAATGTAAAAGTCACTTAAAATAAGGATCTAAAGTAATGAAAATGATTACTATGGTCTGTGATATTCAGAAGTCCATTCTTCTAACTATAGATTGCAAACTCTGATATTGTCCTTATATATAGGTCCTCATCATATAACTGGCAATGGGGTTGGATTCAAACCAGACATATTGGACATGGATGTAATGGATCAAGTTCTTGAAGTAAGTATTAATAGAATATTACTTTCTTCTATAATTTTATGTTTGCTAGCTTAAAATTTTTATTTTTCTCCTAATTGTCATTGGAAACTTATATGGTAGGTTAGCAGTGAAGATGCAGTTAACATGGCTAGGGTGTTGGCCTTGAAGGAAGGACTCATGGTAATCTTCAAATGATAATTTTGTGGAGTTTCTTAAACAAGAATGCATGAGAAGCTTCTAACTTTATTCACTTAACCATGGATTTTACCCTAACATTTACATATGATTCTTAAATAACTGGCAACAAATATTTCTAAATTGCAAATGTAAGTTTGAAATTGCAACTATTTTTCCAGGTTGGGATATCATCTGGAGCTAACACAGTTGCAGCTCTCAGATTGGCTAGTCTGCCTGAGAACAAAGGCAAACTTATTGTGGTAAGAACAGTTTTCCTTAAAACATAAAACAAAATAAAGCTAGGCAGCAACACTATGCAATCATCTGCACAATTTTTTTTTTTATCATCATATAATTCCGGAGAGGTCGAGCCTTGAAGCAGCGGTAAGTTGGCTCCTTTGTGATCGAAAGGTTAAGGGTTTTGAGTCTGAGAAACAGTCTCTTTGCAAAAATGTAAGGGTAAGGTTGCGTATAATCGATCCTTACCCTTACCCTCACAAAGTCAGGGAGTCTTGTGCATCGGGGTTTGTCCATCATATAATTTTGTAAAAATAAAATAAAATGCTTAGCACTATGATTTTAGCCAGCAAATTTTTCTCTTTGTTGCTGATATTGTGAAAATTACTGATGACTTGAATCTCAGACTGTTCATCCAAGTTTCGGGGAAAGATACCTGTCATCTGTCCTGTTTGAAGATCTTCGTAAAGAAGCTGAAAACATGCAGCCAGTGCCAGTTGATTAATGTCTTCCATGAGCTCTAATACAACTAGAAAGCTTTTTGGTTGAGTTACATGGATCAACCTAGCTGTTACAATAATGTTGTAGCAAAAATTGTCAAATTCAGCTTACAACCCTGCCCTTGTAGAATTCTTCAACTAAAGTTATGTTTCTATACAGCTTACAATAATCTTATCTGAATGCTTTGTATTTTCTATATCGATATCTTCTTTGATACTATCGATTGGCAAATTACAGAATACTCATGTCTCTATTACTTAAATATTTTAATTTGTCTCTCTGTTCAAAGAGACATGTCACTTATCCTCAGATTTTTTTGAATGTATACAAACTTGAGAGATGTAATTGATTGATTTTGAATTTTAGTTGAATCTTAGCCTAGTTTGATTTCTTTAAATAAAGTATTAGATTCTAGATTTACTTCACTTCAATTTGGATTAGTAATCACAACTCAAAGTAGTTTGAAAAACTCAATGGTTCAAATAAAAAAAAAGATCAAATTCATTTCTCATTTAATATCTTTCTTAAAAAAAAAATTAAAATTTGTTTGAAATGAATTTGTTCTTAAGGTCAAACATAACCGTTGAACTCACAAAGTTTTATATGTTTTTTTTTTTTGATATATCGATTCTAATTACTTTTTTCAGGCTAGTGGGCCTTCGAGTATTCCCACAAATTTGAACTCTTTAAATTGATTATAGGACTAATCCCGAGTCGGGGTTTAGTCACAGTCACAGTTAAAGTTTTTCACCCCTCTATAAAGATGTATTTGGTTTTCTATATTAATATTAGAGGTGGCAAAGTGGGCGGCCCGCCCCGTCCCACCCCGCCATCAACTCGCCAAAAATTGAGTCAGCCCGCCCCGCTTTTTGAAAGTGAGCTAAAAAACTCAACCCGCCCCGTTTGGCGGGTTGGGCGAGTTGGCCCGCCATCCCGAGCCTATTTTACACTGGCCCGCCTATGCTCGCCCCACCCCGTCCCGTTTTTTAGATGAGTTGAAAAACTCAGCCGCCCCGCCCCGTTTAGCGGGTTGGACGGGTTGGCCCGCCGAGCCGAGCCCGTTTTGCCGGCTCTAATTAATATCTTATTTGGAACTATCGAGTTGGCAAAATAAAGAGTATTTATATCTTTGATTTGCTTGTAATGAATTTGATCTTAAACTCATAAAAAATTATTTGCTTTGGTTTTTAATATTGATAACTTCTTTGAAACTATATATCGGCAAATTAAAGAATGTTTATGACTGAATTACTTAATAACTTTATGTCCATCTTCTCACATAGTCATATAAGTTATCTTAAGTTTTTTTTTTTTTTTTTTTTGAAATTTCTCCATCAGTTCATCAATTAATTGTCTAATTTGTTAGCTGGACAAGACCACAAAGGTAGCAAAGCTCTTCCTACCAAGTTTTTAACATAGTTGCGTACACAAGACTCGAACTTGAAATCACTGGTTAGCCTAAAACAACCATGTGTCGGTTCATCCATGTGCTTAATGGTAGTTTTTGTGTGTGTGTGTGCATACAAACTTGGGAGATGGGATTGATATTGAGTTTTGAATCTTAGTTGAGTTCAATTACTTCAAATAAAGTATTGGATTCAAGTTTTACTTCACTTCACTCTCGATTAGTAATCACAACTTAAAGTGGTTTCAAAAAATGTGACATGTTATTCTACCTTTTTTTTCTATCTACTTTTGTTTACCACTCTTCAACATCGTTAGATCAAAATCTCAACTACTTTTATCATTTCTCTCTCTTATTAAGATTCTGATGTAATGGTGATTAAGAGTAGTAGGAAAAGGTAGATAGAATAACCTATTCATTTTATCTTATTCGAGCTTCATTTATTTAAATAAAGTATGTAAGGTATCACAACCAAGAATGAAAGGTAAGAGAGAGAGAAATCAAGAAAATGCTGAAAGAATTGTATTGCAGTAAAATGAGAAAATAAATTCTAAGTCTAATTATAATGATCGACATATATATATATATATATATATATATATATATATATATATATATATATACAACTCAATGTATTGACTAATGGATAACTAAATGGGATCTAGACATGTGAATCTGTTGCAACGGCTTAGCTGATAACGCATGGCTTGTTAGGAGTTAATTGAATCAATTGATCTATCATTCCCTCGCAAGCTCAGTGTCGGAGAAATGGAGAGACTAAGCTTGTCTCTAAAGTCCAGAAACTTGGAATGCAATACTAATTTTCTAAGACCATATGTTATTTGAGCAGACAGGGGAACATGATATACTAAAACTGACTTATCTAGTACTTTTTCACAAACAAAGTGCAAGTCTAACTCAAAATGCTTGTCCGTGAATGAAAGAGAAGATTGGCAGTGAGCAGAACAACACTTAGATTGTCACAATAGATGTTGGGAGTTTGAGGCAAGGTGACTTGAAGTTTATACAACAAGGACTTGATCTAAGTGAGCTCAACAACAGTTGCAGCGAGATATCAGTATTCAACTTTGGTGCTGGATCGACTCACCACTAGTTGTCTCTTGGAGTACCATGACACCAAATCCCCCCAAGGAAGATGGAAAACCCAAAAGTGGAGCATCTGTCATCCACATCAGACCCCTAATCTGAATCACAATATGCCTTAAGGTGAAGCTGTGAGGAAAGAGTGATGGTTAAGCCCAGGTGGAGAATGCCGCATAGATATCTTAATATGCGTTTGATAGCTTGACAATGAGTATCAAGTGGAGAGCACATGAATTGGCAGACTTTGTTCACACAAAAGGTGATGTCAGGACGTGTCATAGTTGCATATTGAAGTGCATCTACAATGGACTGATACAAGGAAGGGTCGTGGAAAGGAGTTCTATCTCGAGCAAAAGTTTTTAAGCCAGACACCATTGGTGTTGGTAGAGGTTTGCAATTAGTCATTTATGCCTTTTTCAAGAGATTGATGATATATTTGGATTGAGTCAAATGAAGGACACCATTTGATGAGGATTTAGCTTTAATACCGAGGAAGTAGTGAAGATTACCTAGATCCTTAAGAGTAAAAGCAGTATATAAGGATTAAATGAGTGTTGAAATAGCAGTGCAACATGATCTTGTAATAAGGATGTCATCTACATATACAAGCACATAAGTGGCAACAGAATGATTTTGTGATACAAATAGAGATGAGTCACACTTAGTTGCCGTGAATCCAAATCGAGTGAGAGTGGTAGTGAGCTTCTCAAACCAAGCCCGAGTGGCTTGTTTGAGGCCATAAAAAGCCTTACTCAGTCGACAAACAAAGGAAGTATTGGTAATAGAAAAACCAGATGGCTGGGACATAAACACTTCTTCAGCTAGATCACCATTAAGAAACGCGTTGTTCACATCAAGTTGATGTATGGGCCAACCTTTGGAGAGTGTAAGTGTGAGGATGATTTGAATGGTGGCTAGTTTAACAAGGGTTGAATGTTTCAGCATAATCAAGACCTTCACGTTGATGGAAGTCTTTTGCAACAAGGCAAGCTTTATATTTGAGAATGGAACTGTCTTGATTGTATTTTACACGAAAGACCCATTTACACCCTATGGGATTTTTGCCAGGAGGAAAGGAGACAAGTTCCCATTTGTTATTGCGGATAAGAGCATTATATTCTTCCTTCATTGCATTAAGCCATTGAGGAATAGCCATAGCTTGAGGGACATCGATTGGTTCCAATGAAGCTGAAAATAGATGTGGCCTAAAAAAACACCAGCTTTGGCTCTAGTATTCATTTGTTAACAAAGGAGGTTCCAATGATGTAGCAGAAGTAGATGATGGGGACCTGCAAGTAATACTAGTGGTTGAAATAGTATCATTAACAATGTGATTAACAGAAATTTTAGCATGTATATTATTTAATGACATTGATTGTATAACAGTAGGAATAAAGGGAACTGAATTTGGAGCAGAGTGAGAAGGAGTAGATATAGTTGAACTTGATTGTGTTGGTATGGAAAATGTTGTTCGTCAAATAGAACATGACGAGAGATAATGCGTTTACCTGATGGTGTGAGACATTTGTATCCCTTAGATAAAGGGCTGTAACTAAGAAAGGTACATGGAGCATATTTGTAATCTAATTTATTAGAGTTATATGGTTGTAGATAAGGATATCAAAGGCAACCAAAGGTACACAGAAAGGAATAATCTGGTTCTCTATTGAAAAGAACTTGAAATGGAGATATATTTTTGAGACTAGGTGAAAAGAGGAGATTAATGATGATAGAAGCTGAAACAAAGGCATCTTCCCAGATTTTTTTATGGCAGATGTGAAGCTGCTAACATAGACAGGCCCATTTCAACTATGTGTTGATGTTTGTGTTCAGGAGTGTCATTTTGTTGAGGGATATGAGGACAGGAGAGACGATGAATGATGCCTTGAGTTTGAAGAAAAGGTTTAAGAGCAAGATACTCTTTTGCATTGTCTATTTGTAAAGATTTGAGCTTAGTGTTGAGTTGAAGTTCTGCCATAGTTTTGAATTGAATGAAAATGGTATGGACCTGTGATTTGGATCGCATGAGATATAACCATGTATATTTGCTAAAGGCATCAATAAAACATATGTAAAGTAAGCTAATTCAAGTGGTGCATGATAAACAATATTAGAAATGGAGAAAAAGAGTCGGTGCATCTTTCCCATACAACAGGCACAACATAAGGAAGATTTTGTACTATTAAATGGTATCTTACAATGAGAAAGAACAAATTTTACAATTGAAAAAGAAGCATGTCCTAATCTAATATGCTATATTTCAAGTATAGAATTGGAATGACATTTATTTGATACAGATTTGACTTTAGTTTGCACTTAAAAGGCTGAGTGTTTAGAAGCTTTTATTGAGTTCACTCCTTCAAAGGCATAGAGTCTATCTTTAAGCTTTTCTTGGAGAAGAATCTCCCTAGTAGCGTAGGATTTCACAAAGCAATGGTTAGTATGGAATTCGAAGAAAACATTATTATCCTTGGTAACTGTGATACACTAAGAATATTTTTTGAAAGGCCAGAGACATTAAGCAGATTAGGCATGGTGAAGGATAAAGAGTTGGATGATGAATGTAAAATGGAGTGCCCTACATGCTGAATTTTTATACCTGAACCATTTCCTATTTGAATCGTGTCTTGCCCTTTGAAGTAGCCTTTGGTAGTAGTTTTGATGCATCAGGAGTAAAATGATTCAATGCTCCTTAGTCAGGGTACCACGTTGGGTCAAAGACTGAGAAATACTTAGAAGCATTGTCGTTTTGTTTAATATATGAAGCATTTCCAGCTACTGCAACATTTGCTTGCAAATTTGAAATGGAAGATTCACCACGTTCAGATCTGTTGGTGAACTGATTGAATGGATTTGGATATCCTTGGTTGAATCTATTGTAACATTCCCAGTCTATGTGACCTATTTTGCCACACATTTGGCACTGAGGCTTTCACATCTGCTAGTGTGATCTCCATCCGTTTATGCCATACCTTCCTCTGAAATTATTTGAATGACCTCTATTGAAGTTTTGAGGATTTCGTCCAGCAGCAAATCCATGAGGTCTTCGAAAATGCATTTGAGCCATATTGGCTTGTAACACACCAACTTCATTCTTTCCATGTTTCTCTAGGCGTATGAGTAGAGCCTCTATTTCTCTTACAGTGTGTGGATCAGTTCTTGAGATAGCTGATGTAATGAAAGCATCATATTCTTCACCTAGACCATCAAGAATCGAAATTATGTGATCTTGAGAGGTGATTGGAGAACCTGTAGCTACTAGTTAATCAACTATTTTCTTGATTTGCAACAAATATTTTGAGACTGTGGAATCTTTCTTGATGTTTCTTAACTGAATTTTCAATTATTTCACCTTGGCAAGAGTCTGAGAAGCAAAGAATTCCTTAAGCTTGTTTCAGACTTGATAAGAGGATTGACATCCAATCATCCTTGTGTGCAAGGATTCAGACATATATGCAAGGAGCCAGGACATCAATAGCTGATCTTGCTGTTGAGAAGATTGCTCAACTTCGTTGCCAATGAATTTCTACAGATTGAAACCTTTTATGGTTGTCATAGCTTGCTGCTTCCAAGGAAGGAAGTTTCCTTCATCTAGCTTGAACGAGATTGGATTGGAAAATGTGTGCAGAGTAGGTTGCGAAGAAGCATTGTTGACCTCCATTATGTGTGGAATAGGTTGCGCGGAAGCGTTGTTAGTCTCCATGGATAAAAAAAGTGCTCTAATACCATGTAAGGTATCAGAACTAAGAATGAAAGGTAAGAGAGAGAGAAATAAAGAGAATGCTGAAAGAACTGTATTGCAGTAAAATGAGAAAATGAATTATAAGTCTGATTACAATGATTGACGCACACACACACACACATATATATATATAACTCAGTGTATTGACTAATTGATAACTAAATAAGATCTAGACATGTGACTCTGTTGCAACGACTTAGCTGATAACGTAGGGCTTGGTAACACATGCTAAATAGGTTGAGAGAGATCCTAAGTTCGACTTCCACAAAATACATCTTTAGGGAGGGACGAAGAAATTTAATGGTGATTTGGGATTAGTCCCATAGCTGACTCAAAAAATTGAAACTTGTAGGATATCGAGAGCCCGACTCGCCTCAAAAAAATAATTAGTGTCCGTATATAAAAATAGCTTTTATATTTATTAATGCTATTTTGATCCTAAGGTCAAAGGTATACACATTTAATGGTAAAAAAATGTTCAAATCCGTGGGGTATCTGTATACCTTAGTTTGAATTGTCAAATTGGTGATATAATGAATATTATTGTCCCAATAATTTAGTATTTAGAGAGTAACATTAATTTTCATTGAGTTTTTGTGTGGGACTAATATAAACTTTCAAGTTTTCAACGAAATAGATGAAATTATTATAGCATAAAAGGTTAATTTGGCAGACTCAAAAACTGTAGCTAAGAAGTACATATATATATTTTTTTTTTGGTGAAAGAAGAAGTACATATTTATTAAGAGATTACTTGATTTCAAAAGTGTATCTTAACCAAACCCTATGCTTTAAATTACCTGAAATATTGTCTACCAATTTTTTTTTTTTACTTAAAATATTAACCACTTTAAAAAATGGGGTTTATATTCATCATGCAACATGATACAATCAATTTTCCTACACACACAATATTTTGTGACCCGTATTTTTTGAAGCAAAAAAAAAAAAAGACACAAAAAACGAATCTTTATAACATGACACAATCACTTTTCCTACAATATAATTTTTATAAAACTCTTAAAAAATACTTAAAATATTATATTTTGTCTACCAAAACAAATATTATATTTTAAAATTGAAGTTAGTACTTCTCCTTCACTATTGACAGTAGATTTTCAACAACATAAGTACATAACTATGTCAACTTTTTTTTTCTAATTAAAAAGCATTTTTATAGAATCCAATCTGACCAAATCTCACATGTGGACTTCTGGTCCAATTCTTACAGTTATAGATTTGAGAAAATAATAGTTATTTTTATTTTTTTTAAACTCTATTATAAGGTATTAAAAGTTTAAGTACAAAATAAATAAATCCAAATATATATTACATACATTAGATAACCAAATTTCAAAAATTAGCGTAATATTTATGGTACACTGGTCACAACATTGACTCGGGTGTGATAGACTAATTAAAATGAGATATTTTCTATGATGTGTGTACGAAAAAGAGAGAATTTTTTTGAAAGTCATTGGTAAATCGGATGTACTGGAAATGCTCTCCACCATCTTGTCGAATTTGGCCCAATATATATATTATTGTTTGTCATGTCAGATGACACAAAATTATATCACATCACCTTAAAATTACATTGTTTTGGGTGTTAAGAAAATTGATGAAGGGTGTTTTGATAAAATTTATATAATAAATAAACAAATAAAAATATCAAAATATCTTTAAATTAATTCTCCTAACACTCAAAATGATGTAGTTTTGGAATGGCAGGAGATAAGGTTACTTCAAGTGACTTGAGAAATATTTTTATTTATTTTTATATATGTAAGGTTTATCGTTTCTCAAGTCACTTGAAATAATCTTAGCTCCGTTCCTTCCAAAACTACGTCATTTTGGATTTCAGGAGAATTAATGAAGGGTACCTCAAAACACCTCTAATTAATTCTCCCAACACCCAAAACGATATAGTTTTGGGGCGGACGGAATAAGATTATTTCAAGTGACTTCATAAATATTTTTCTCATATATATATATATAAGGGAAAAATATATGTCCTTGTAAATGACACAACTTGTGTCATTTTACTCTCACAAAGAAGTGAGACCCATATATATATTTTTTTTGTCCTCTCTCTCCTTCTTTATCTATCTATTTCTCTCACTTAAAATGACACAACTTTACATCCTTTAAAATGATACACACATTTTCTTATATATATATATGTGTGTGTGCTTAGGGGTGCTAAACGAGCCAGGGGCCTTTGGCTCAGCTCGTGAAGGCCTGAGCTTTTATGTCTAAAATTGATTGTTAGAAGCAGGCTAGGACCTGTATAAAAGCTCGTTTAATAAAAAGGCCTCAGGCTCCAATTTAAAAGCTCGGCCTTAGAGCTTCTCAGGCTGGCCTAATATATTAATTATTTTTATTTTATACTCTTTTATACTACTTGTGATAGCCCTCTCTCTCATCAATTCATTTCATCCCATTTTATTAATTAAACAATTTTTTTAATGATTTTGTTTTATATTATGCTTTTTGGATATACATTAAATTTATGAATATTTATGGAATTACTAGTGTTGTTGACTGTATATTTTGTTTGGATAAATTTTTGTTGTCTTATTTTGTTTTAAACAGGCTAACAAGCTAAATCAGGTTTTAGTTTTTTGTAAATAAGACAGGCCACAGGCTGAAATTATATTCATAACAGGTAACAAGCTTGGTCAGGATGAGACATTTAAACACATGCTTAGCCTTTTAAAATCAAAGCTCGGCTCGGCTCGTTAACACCCTTATATGCTTATATAACAGATTTTGAATATTTTTTGTCATGTTTAAAAAAGGGAAAAATATTTCTCCTCGCATATGAGATAAAATTATCTTTTATAATTCTAAAACAATGTTTAGGGTTTAGAATAAGAACGTAAAAGCTATTTTAAATTTTTTACTTTCTAACATATATTTTATTAAAGGAAAAAATATGTGTCTAACACAAACTTAGCTCATTTTAAGTGAAAGATAAACACAAAATGATTTTTTTTCCAATAAGACCTACACCTCTTTATGTCTATCTCTTTTAAAAGAACATAAATTTGTATTATTTAAAAGGACACATATTTTTTCTTTATTAAAATACCCTTTATTTTTTATCATAAATCTCAAAACGACGTAATTTTAAAATTAGCGAAGATAATTTTATCTACGTTAATCCCTTACAAAAAATGGAAAATATTTAACTTGTGTCATTTTTCTCTTACAAAGAGATGAGATTTATATCTTTTTTTATCAACTCTCCTCCTTTTTTATCTATCTCCTTTTTTTTTTTTTTGGAGTTACCCAATCCTAATTATCTCTTTGAGACGAGTTGGCTCCCTCTGGTATCCCACGAGCTTCGACTCTTTGAGCCGGCTATGAGACTAATCCGGAGTGCAGGGGAACAGTGATGGCTAAAGGTTCAGCCCCCTCCCCAAGAATGCATTCAGCGGGAATCGAACACATATCCAACCCCACTAACTCAGCGTCAAGTTACCAACTGAACTGCACCCATAGAATTCAGCATGAATCTCTTTCTCTTTCTACATAACTTTATATATTTTAATACGAGATACTTTTTCAAAAAAAAAAAAATGTTCAGGATTTAGGGATTTGTCTGTAATTTTGATGGTACCGAGGGGCAATCTGAATTGCTACCTTCCGTAAATCTGTAACCGTAGTTGTTTTGGCATATAAAAATGGTATAGTGTGTACAGTGTGTTAGAGAGAGAATACACAGAGAGAGAGAGAGTGGAAGAAAGCTTTAAGCTTTGTGACCCAACCTGAGGAAAAAAAAAAAGAAAACACAAACGTCATTTTTATAAAGAAAATGGAAGAAAAATAGGAAAATAGAATTTTTTTTTTCCCTTAGGGTTTGACTGTGAATTGGGAAATCGCGCGTGACCCAAATTGTGGAATCACCGATTCCGTCAAGCTCGGTTCTCTGTGGGGGAAGATCTATCCTCAATTGCTCCGAAATTTGCGGATTTTGGAGCGAGAAAGCTGGTGTCAGTAGCTGAAGCTGGAGAGAGAAAATGGGGTGAATGGTGATTTTTTGAACGTTAAGGATCGGAGGGAAAATAAAAGGGCTTTTTTCTTCAAATTTGGAGGGATTCTGAGGCTTTTGCATTTCTGGGTATTTTTATTTTGTTCAAAGTTTGAATTTTTTATTTTTTATTTTTACCAGTGGGAGTGATCTGAATTTTGGTTTATCTGCATGTGTAGTGTAGGTGTTGAATTCTGGGTTGATTGCATGCAATCTGGCGGCAGCGGCGGTGGGCCCGGCCGGAACCCGGCAGGGCGGGCGGCATCAACGTCGTCAGCGGCGGCATCTCCGTCTTCTCCGTCTTCGGCGGCCTCTCACTTGGGATTGGATTCTTTGCAGCAGCAACAGCAGAAGCAACACCAACAGCAGCAGATAGGTTCTAGGCAGGTGTGGATTTTGATTCGTTTGGCTGAATTTCTGTGATAATTTGATGGAACATGTACTCTGATGACTAGTTCTGGCAAGTGTGGTACTTAGTTGTGCTGGTAATAAAATGGGGTTTGATTTTGGAAAACATGGTGGGCTTTGGAAATTGGAGTGTGGTGCTTGTTGGAAAAATGGGTTGTAGTGGAATTTGCATTTATTACCTTTGCTAGTGGGGGTTAATTACCAAAGAATGTCTTTAGTTAGTTGGTTGGTTGGTTTTTTTTTTTTTTTTGGTTTTGTTTTTAATTTTGGGAACCAATTGATTTTCAGTTATTCAAGGAGTGAAACTTGAGATGTGTTAATTAAGTAGAATATGGAAACTGATGGAATCATTGAACCTGAAAATGATTGGGTGCAATCGTGTGTTGCTAACGTTGTCAGTTCCAGTCAAGCTTCCTTTTAATCACACAAACAACATGCATCTTTCTCTAGACTTTGAATTTTTTACTAATTATTGATCTTTGCCTTTATTTTCTGTTCATATGTTATGTTTCAATTATAGGAAAATACGACTATTGTGCATATTGTATTTCTTTTCTTCACTTTTCTACTGTATTTCCTTTTACAAGTTGATGATGATAATGAAACATCAGGGTAATAAACCTTGAGGTTTGTGTTTTTGTTTAATGAACTCCGTCTCTCCCCTTTCTTTCTTTCTTCAGGTGCTATTGTTGAAATTTAATCACTCTGATTAACTTTGGATCATGAGTTTCCTTTTTGCCTTTTCTTTCTCTCTCTAACAAATTGTTTAAATTGAAAAACATTGATTAATTGTGGATTGTAACCAAACAAGCTGAAGTTGCAACTTGATAAAAAGTGTTGTTTCGTCACCTTCTGTATATCGTCAGTTTGTGTTAACTGTTCCTGCTGTCTCTCATTCCTGTTACTTCTGTTATTATTAGTAAAAGATGTATGATATCAATAATTGAGCTCGTCTGTTTCTTGTTGACTATTAGTTTTCTATCAAATGCTGTTTTAATGGGAAAATAATCATTATATCGACTTCTTTCTCAAAATGCTATGATAATTAATATATGACTCATTTTCTTTATGTTATATGGTAATGGTACTTAAGAATTTGTCATAACTTACAACTATGGTCTACTTTCTGCCTTCATGGTTATATTACTTCAGTAGAGGACACAGTTTTCTTTTTTCGTATTTATTTTATGTAGATAGTAGCCTTCGTAAATCTCTGTGAAATTTCTGTCATACCTTTTATGATGTGGGATTGCAAGTTTTGGTAACCAAATTAGCTTATGTTATACTTTGACAAGTATTTGTGTATGAAATTTGCATTGTAATCTTATAAAAAAATATTGATATTATTTTCGGCAATCATATCTTTTTTTTTTGCAACCTTTCCCCATATCATTGTGTTACGAAATGATGACTTTTACTCAAAATTTTATATTGCAGTCATTTCAACAGCATCTGCTTAGAAAATCTGAAGGGAATGAAGCATTTTTGGCATATCAAGCAGGGCTTCAAGGATTTGGGAGTAACAATTTCTCTTCTCCTAGTGCCATGCAACTGCCTCAGCAGTCTCAAAAATTTATGGATTTAGCTCAGCGTGGCTCCAACCAGGGTCAAGGCGTTGAGCAGCAAATGCTAAATCCTGCCCAACAAGCATACCTTCAATATGCTTTCCAGGCTTCTCAACAAAAGTCTGCTTTGGCAATGCAGTCACAGCAGCAACCTAAAATGGGAATGTTAGGCCCTTCATCCATGAAGGATCAGGAAATGCGAATGGGAAATTTGAAAATGCAAGACCTTATGTCTATGCAGGCAGTGAATCAAGCCCAAGGATCATCCTCTAGGAATTCATCTGAACATTTTGCTCATGGGGAAAAGCAGATAGAGCAAGGACAGCAGCTAGCACCTGATCAGAAGAGTGAAGGAAAGCCATCAATCCAGGGACCAGCCATTGGACACTTGGTGCCTGGAAATATTATAAGACCTGGGCAAGCATTGGCAACTCAACAGAGCATCCCAAATGCTATGAACAACCAGATTGCACTGTCTGCTCAATTGCGGGCTATGCAGGCATGGGCACATGAAAGAAATATTGATCTATCAAATCCTGCAAATGCTAACTTAATGGCTCAGTTCATCCCGCTGGCGCAATCAAGGATGGTTCAACAGTCAAAGGCAAATGATACTAACACTGTGGCTCAGTCATCACCTGTCCCTGTTTCAAACCAGCAGGTTACTTCTCCAGCAGTTGCAAGTGAGGGCTCAGCACATGCTAATTCATCTAGTGATGTGTCTGCACAGTCAGGCTCTGCAAAATCCAGGCAGATGGCTCCACCAAGCCATTTGGGCCCACCAATTAATGCTGGTATATCTGGTAACTCCGGTGACATGGCAGTGCAGCAATTCAGTCTTCATGGCAGAGATGCTCAAGGATCTTTGAGGCAACCAGTTATAGTTGGAAATGGAATGCCTTCTATGCATCCACAACAGTCTTCTGCTAACGTAAACATTGGTGCAAATCATCCTTTGAATGCAAAAGCTTCATCATCTGGTCCAGAACCTGCACAAATGCAGTACACCAGGCAATTAAACCAATATGCTTCTCAGGCTGGAGGTCTGACAAATGAAGGGGGCTCAGGAAATTACACCAAACCTCAAGGAGCACCATCTCAGATGCCTACACAACAAAATGGTTTTACCAAACAACAGCTTCATGTTCTTAAAGCACAGATACTAGCATTTAGGCGACTGAAGGTTTGATCTCTGCTTCCTTACTCATTTTGTCTGAGTCTGTCAGCATCTGTCTATTTGCCTCATTTGTGTATATTTTATTTATATAGTCCTAGTGAAGATGTACTATATAGTATTTTATGGAGATTGTGCTCACAGATATTCTTTTCATTTTGGTTGATAGAAAGGAGAAGGTACACTCCCCCAAGAACTTCTTCAGGCCATTGTTCCACCACCACTTGATTCACAAATACAGCAGCCAGTTCATTCTGCAGGAAGACAAAATCAAGAGAAATCTGTTGGAAATATTGTGGCGGAACAACCAAGGCAGAATGAGTTCAATTCCAAGGATTCACAGCCTATCCCAACAATTAATGGAAAGAGTTCTTCAAAGCACGAAGGCTTTGTCAGAGATGAGAAATCCACTGTAACAGCAGTTCATATGCAAGCTATGTCTCCTGTGACAAAGGAATCTGCTGGAAAGGAAGAGCAGCAATATGTTGAATGCTCCGCTAAGTCAGACAAGGAAAGTGAATGTGGAATTAGCAGAATTCCTGTTAGAAATGAGGTGGCATTAGATAGGGGAAAGGCTATTGCACCCCAGGCTTCTATAAATGACACAATGCAAGTTAACAAACCTGCACAAACAAGTACTGTTGCCCAGCCAAAGGAAGTGGGACCCACCATAAAATATCATGGGCCCCTATTTGATTTTCCTTTCTTCACTAGGAAACATGATTCCTTTGGGTCATCATTGATGGTAAACAACAACAATAATTTGTCACTGGCATACGATGTGAAAGAGCTTCTTTATGAGGAAGGCATGGAAGTCCTTAATAGCCGAAGGACAGAGAATTTAAAGAAGATTGAGGGTTTACTGGTGGTAAACTTAGAGAGGAAAAGAATTAGGCCAGATCTTGTGTTGAAGTTGCAAATTGAAGAGAAAAAGCTTCGCCTTTTAGATCTTCAGGCACGTCTAAGGGATGAGATTGATCAACAGCAACAAGAGATAATGGCAATGCCAGATCGGCCATATCGCAAGTTTGTTAGGCTGTGTGAACGTCAGCGTATGGAACTTGCTAGACAAGTGCAGGCATCTCAGAGAGCTCTAAGGGAGAAGCAACTCAAATCTATATTTCAATGGCGCAAGAAACTTCTTGAAGCACACTGGGCCATTCGTGATGCCCGTACTGCTCGCAACAGGGGGGTGGCCAAATATCATGAGAGGATGTTGAGAGAGTTCTCGAAACGTAAGGATGATGACAGGAACAAAAGGATGGAAGCCTTAAAAAACAATGATGTTGACAGATATAGGGAGATGTTGCTGGAGCAGCAGACTAGCATCCCAGGTGATGCTGCAGAAAGATATGCTGTTCTTTCAACTTTTTTATCCCAGACTGAAGACTATCTACATAAATTAGGAAGTAAGATAACTGCTGCAAAGAATCAACAGGAAGTGGAGGAGGCAGCAAAAGCTGCTGCAGCTGCTGCACGATTGCAGGCATGCTTCATTATCCCCCCCTCCCCCCTCCCCAAAAAAATAAAATAAAAAATATTCTAATGCCTGAGAGAAAGTCTTATGTTCGTGGGCCTTTTTTTTTTTTTTTTTTCCGTACAATTTATCGTTGAGGATTCTGTTTTTGATGTTTTGTAATGTAGTGTTTTAACTTTTTGAAATCCAGTATTTATCATTGATCCATTATTTATTTTATGACTAAAGGGTCTTTCTGAAGAAGAAGTCAGAGCAGCAGCAGCTTGTGCTGGGGATGAAGTGACGATCAGAAATCGTTTTATGGAGATGAATGCTCCTAGAGACAATTCATCTGTCAGCAAGTGAGTTTTGTTCAATTTTTTTTTAATGTGTAAATTGAGTTTTGGGTTTTTGGCATAAAATGCTTGAGGTCAGGTGTATTTTTAATGCTAGGTGTTGGCTCGAAATGGGCTAATACCTTTTTTTTCTTGTAAATTATGATTTTAGATCATTTTATTGGTTGTATAACAATGTATCTGGTGCCTGATGTTTACCATTATTTGCCACATACCAGGTATTACAACCTTGCTCATGCCGTGCATGAAAGGGTTGTAAGGCAACCATCAATGTTAAGGGCTGGAACACTGAGAGACTATCAGCTTGTAGGTTGCTAACTTTGATGGAATTGTCAGTAATTGCTTGGTTTTTTGATGATGTTTCTAAGTATTTGACATGTTGTTTTTGAAGGTTGGTTTGCAATGGATGCTTTCTTTGTATAACAACAAATTAAATGGAATTTTGGCGGATGAGATGGGTCTTGGTAAAACTGTACAGGTTAGTGTTATGTTTTGCTTTGTCCTTCCTTAAAATGGGAAGAACATCTATTGTGTGTTTTTTCGGCTGAGTGATTTCACACTTAAGTTTGTTACTTCATACATGGAAGATGTAAGACAATTAGTCCTTTTTTTTTTTGTTATTTCAAGTGTACTGCACAATTATTTACTGTGATAGTTGTGCAAACCTCCTATAAACTTAATTATTTATTCTCTGTCCAGGTTATGGCATTAATTGCCTACTTGATGGAATATAAAGGGAACTACGGCCCACATCTTATAATAGTCCCAAATGCAGTTTTGGTTAACTGGAAGGTGAGCTTTCAACTCTTTCATTTCAATGATATTCCTTTTCTTTTTGATTATGTGTGCCTTTTAACCCAAAAGTTTGTGTTCATCATGCAGAGTGAGTTGCATACTTGGTTACCATCTGTGTCATGCATTTATTATGTTGGAACTAAGGATCATCGGTCAAAATTATTTTCTCAAGTAAGTGTGCCACAGCTTAATGACTTATACTCTGTGGAGTAATTTAATAATAAGTGCTGAGTTTCCTTTGGGTTATTTTTACAGGAAGTTATGGCTATGAAATTTAATGTCCTTGTGACTACTTATGAGTTCATCATGTTTGACCGGTCAAAACTTTCAAAAATTGATTGGAAGTACATCGTAATTGATGAAGCTCAGAGAATGAAGGACAGAGATTCAGTTCTAGCCCGTGATCTTGATAGATATCGTTGTCAAAGACGCCTTCTTCTTACTGGAACACCTTTACAGGTCTGTTTTGCTTTGATGCAATATGCATTGTCGCTGTAGTTTGTATGTACTCAAAGTCTTTCATGACCCAATTTAACCAAACATTACCATATCTTGATGTTTGCAGTTTTCTATTTTGTTGCACAGCTGGTTCTTCCATTGGTAACTGTTAAAGATATTATAACTATTTATGTGCTGTCACCTAATAGCTTAAGCTTTACAGAGAATCGGTCCTTGATACATTGATACGACTAACTTTAAGAGAGAAAGGATATTCTTCAAGGAATGTATCATTATTAGGGAAGGAATATTCTTGAAAGAATATACCAAGTGATTAGAAAGCTAGGAGGTGGTTGGTTGGTTAGTTGAGAGGATAGGCAGTTAGGAGTTTTTAGCTTCCCCAACTATGTAAGGGAATATGCTTTTGGTTAGAAGTTTTGACAAAGATTATGTTAGGCTGAAGCTGAAAGAGATCAGTTGAAGGGCAATGCCCCGTGGCAAGAGAAGTGTCTCTTGTATGTTCATTTGAATTTCTCATCAATAAACAGATTTTTCTGTCCATTTCCATTTGTTTCTTTCCTTCTTCCTTTCTATCCGGCCTGTTCCATTCTCTAAAGAATCCAGAGCTGTATCATGCTTGGTATCAAATCCTCTATGACAAAGTGCTTATAAGTTAAATCTTTGAATTTTGCTGCTTTAATTATTCTAAATATAGTTAAATTTCAGCACAAGATAGAGTGAGTCTTTGCATTGTCCAGCTTCAAGGCCAAAGGGATCTTCTATGAGCGGGCATGTTATATATATTAAAACCATTGATATACCTTCATCTAATAGCTTAAACTTTTAGGAGTGGTAGGGTTTGATAGTAACAAAATCTTTCTTTAGTCTTTGACATTTCAGATATTTGCAAAGACTAGTAGAAGATGCTGGCAACGAATACTGCAGAGCCATTTAACTGGCTGAGCTATGAATTAAGAATTACTTTACCTGCATCTGAATCCGTACAAAGCATATCTTCTGTTTAGATAAGCTGGAGATATGTTATATATTTTTCCTTTATGTGAGCAATTTTAATTTGTTGGTTCCCTTTTTGAGTGAGAGGAGTCAAAATTACCTGATAGGGCAAGATTCAGCTTTAACGGAACTCAAGTCCGAGTCTTGTCATGCCTGCCTGATGACTGATGCTGTGGTGGGGTTTGAGCCAAATAACAGTCATCTATGGTTCATTTAGTTGTTTACAGTCATAACTTAATACATTAAATGCAATTAAGATTTTTATTGAAGCATGAATGTTAATTACGAAGTCAAAATCTCAAATAAGGCCTCTTGTTTTGTAACCATGACCTTTGGTCAAGTATATATCATGTTATGCTAGTTGTGGTTGTTTAGTTGTTACTGGAATGTAGTCGAGGCTCTTTGACTAGTAATTCATAATTCTAACGTGTCTTGATAAAATACGTAAGTTCATGTTTAGAATATTGACTTGTGTTCTAGATGTTAATTTTATGTAAATTTCATATTGTCAATTGATATGTCATATAGATACATGGTCGTGTTGATGAAATTATTAATGGTGTAATTTTCTCTGCAGAATGATTTGAAGGAACTGTGGTCACTTTTAAATTTACTGCTTCCTGAGGTTTTTGACAATAGGAAAGCCTTTCATGATTGGTTTTCAAAACCATTTCAAAAGGAAGGTCCCTCTCAAAATGCAGAGGATGATTGGCTTGAGACAGAGAAGAAAGTTATCATTATCCATCGACTTCATCAGATTCTTGAGCCTTTCATGCTCAGACGCCGTGTTGAAGATGTTGAAGGCTCGCTGCCACCAAAGGTTTGATTATGACTCTTACTAGTCCTTTTACTCTTTATCTGATGATGTGATCCTAATATCAGTGCTGCATTGCAGGTCAGTATAGTTTTGAAATGTAAAATGTCAGCTGTCCAGAGTGCCATTTATGACTGGATCAAATCAACCGGCACCCTACGTCTTGATCCTGAGGATGAGCAACGTAGGATTGAAAAAAATCCAGTCTATCAGGCAAAGCAGTATAAAACTTTAAATAACAGATGCATGGAGCTACGTAAAACTTGCAACCATCCTTTGCTTAATTACTCATTCGATAGTGACTTATCTAAAGACTTCATTGTAAAATCTTGTGGGAAATTGTGGATCTTGGATAGGATCCTTATAAAACTTCAAAGAACTGGACATCGAGTTCTGCTCTTTAGTACCATGACTAAACTCCTAGACATCTTGGAAGAGTACCTGCAATGGCGAAGACTTGTGTTCAGAAGAATTGATGGGACAACAAGTTTGGAAGATCGTGAATCAGCTATAGTGGACTTTAATAGCCCTAACTCAGACTGTTTCATCTTCTTGCTTAGTATTCGAGCTGCTGGGAGAGGCCTTAACCTTCAGTCTGCTGACACAGTTGTCATTTATGATCCTGATCCAAACCCTAAAAATGAGGAGCAGGCTGTGGCTAGAGCTCATCGCATTGGACAGAGAAGAGAAGTCAAAGTTATCTACATGGAAGCTGTTGTTGACAAAATCCCTAGCCATCAGAAGGAGGATGAATTGAGAAATGGAGGCACTGTTGATATGGAGGATGAACTTGCAGGAAAGGATCGCTATATAGGATCCATTGAGAGCCTAATAAGGAACAATATTCAACAATATAAGATAGATATGGCTGATGAGGTTATTAATGCTGGACGTTTTGATCAAAGAACAACACACGAAGAGAGACGTTTGACTCTGGAGACATTATTACATGATGAAGAAAGGTATCAAGAAAATGTCCATGATGTTCCTTCACTACAGGAGGTAAATCGCATGATTGCTAGGAGTGAAGAGGAAGTTGAATTGTTTGATCAAATGGACGAAGAACTGGATTGGATTGAGGAGATGACTCGGTATGATCAGGTGCCTCCATGGCTTCGAGCCAATACAAGAGAAGTGAATGCAGCAATTGCTGCTTTATCAAAAAAACCATCAAAGAACATTTTATTGGGTGGTAGTATTGGCATGGAATCTGGTGAAGTGGGATCCGAGAGAAGGAGGGGACGGCCCAAAGGAAAAAAGCATCCTAGTTATAAAGAATTGGAAGATGAAAATGGAGAATACTCTGAAGTAAGCTCTGAAGACAGAAATGGATATTCTGCACATGAAGAAGGGGAAATCGGAGAATTTGAAGATGATGGGTACAGTGGGGCTGATGGAGCTCAGCCCATGGATAAAGATCAATTGGAAGATGGTCCACTTTTTGATGCTGGATATGAATTTCCTCGATCTTCTGAAATTGGTAGAAATAATCATCTGGTTGAAGAAGCTGGTTCCTCAGGATCATCATCAGATGGTCAAAGATTGACACGGACAGTGTCACCATCAGTTTCCTCGCAGAAATTTGGTTCCCTATCAGCATTAGATTCCAGGCCAAGTTCCATTTCAAAAAGGATGGTAAGCTTTACTTTGTATTTTGAATATTTTATTCTTTTGTTGGGTGGCTGGCTGTCATTGTTCGATTTCTTTCACTGATTAAATTTATTTTGATAACTTTTGCCAGGGGGATGAGTTAGAGGAAGGGGAAATTGCAGTTTCTGGTGATTCTCACGTTGATCATCAACAGTCTGGAAGTTGGATTCATGATCGTGATGAAGGTGAGGATGAACAAGTTTTGCAGCAACCCAAGATTAAACGTAAACGTAGTCTTCGTGTTCGACCCCGTCATGCCATGGAAAAGCCTGAAGACAAGTCTGGCAGTGAGATGGCATCTCTTCAATGTGGCGAATCATCATCTCTTTTAGCAGAGAATAAATATCAAGTGCAAACAAAGACGGACCCAGAATCAAAATCATTTGGAGATTCCATTGCCAGTAAACATGATAAGAGTGGATCCTCATTAAAGAATAAGCGAAATTTACCTTCAAGGAAAGGAGCTAATTCATCCAAATTACATGGCTCATCTAAGTCTAGTCGTTTGAATTGCGCATCTGTTCCTTCAGAGGATGGGGGTGAACAGTCTAGAAAAAGTTGGGAGAAGCCTATCAATTTAAGTGGATCTTCAGCTCATGGCACTAAGATGACTGAAATCATCCACAGCAAGGTATGTGTCATTAAGTGATCAATGTTGTCTCTCTTCTTTTCTGCCTGTGATGGTCTTATGTTCTTACTGAATGGGGTTTGCTAGAAAGCTTAGGAAGGAAAATGAATAGGAGAAATTGAGATTAAATAGAGAGTTTCTGAGAAGCGAATCCTGTGAACTGTTATTGTGTTACAGTTAGCTAGATATCTCTCTCTTTCTCTCTCTCTCTCTCTCTCTCTGTGTGTGTGTGTGTGTGTGTGTGTATCAGAAACCTAACTAACTGAAACAAAGTAGCTGACTTGATATCTGTGATTCTAACTGAATAACTCGCTGGATAACAAAATAACCGACTGAATAACAGAGTGGATCTTACTGCATGTTGTAAGTACTGCAAGCAGAAATGCTTATTAATCTTGAGCTTAATTACAATAAAAAATTAATATAATACAACATTATAATGTTCTTAGGTATCTGATTGTAGGTTTCTTTACAAGCTGCAATCCTAAAAATATTACTCACCTTTGTTCTGATTTGCACTAAAACTTTCTGTTGGAAATGTTGAATTTAATCTCACCCCCTTTCCATGTTAAATGGTCTATGTTGGAGATATTTCCTGTAGTTTTATTGTCTGCCTGCTCACTTAGTGCTAGTATATGAACTCATACAACTTATGCACTTGCAGTGCAAAAGCGTAATTGGCAATCTTCAAAAGAGAGTAGACAAGGAAGGTCATCAAATTGTACCTTTGCTAACAGATTTGTGGAAGAAGATTGAGAATTCTGGGAACAGTCAGTTGGATTTACGGAAGATTGACCAGCGGATTGATAGATTGGAGTATAATGGAGTCATGGAGATTGTGTCTGACGTGCAGTCATTGTTGAGGAGTACAATGCAATTCTATGGGTGCTCATATGAGGTGAGATTTCTTATTATTGTACAAAATAACTCATTTTTTGGCTTCTGGTGGAAACATGCACTGACTTACTGTATTTATGTCCTCTTTTGGAGATGGAAATGAATTGGTGTCCGAAGACAACCGAGCATATATATATATTTTTTTGGGTACACAGTGTTCAAAGAACTTGAGCATGTATCATCATGAGTTATGGAGGACATGTTTGGATCCTTTAAATGAAAACTGATACACACACATTAGAAACCACGCCAATTTTTGAAGCTGTGTTAATCATGTCATATCATAAATGTTTTGTTTTTTCTCACTAAACCTAGGGAAGCATTAATGTGATGTGTAAATGTTAAAAGTTCTGGGTGATCATTATTCTCAGGTAAGATCTGAAGCAAAGAAGGTTCATGATCTCTTCTTTGAGATCTTGAAAACTGCATTTCGGGATATGGACTTCAGAGAAGCAAAAAGTGCACTTCCTTTCTCTAGTCAAACTTCTGCCAAAAATGTAGCATCCCCAAGGCAAGGGACTGTTTGCCCAAGCAAGAGGCAGAGAGTGGTAAATGACGTGGAAACTGATCCGTGCCTTTCACAAAAGCCACTGCAACGCGGATCCGCTTCTAACAGTGAAAATGCCAGGATCAAAGGCCATTTGCCACAGAAGGAATCAAGAACTGGAAGTGGTAGTGGCAGTGCCCGGGAGCAACTTCAGCAGGATAATCCTTCACTGCCTACTCATCCAGGTGAACTGGTTGTATGCAAGAAGAGAAGAAATGACAGGGAAAAAACATTGGTGAAGGCTAGGACTGGATCAGCTGGTCCTGTTTCACCACCTAGCATTGGTCCTGTTATAAGAAGTCCAAGGTCAGGTTCAACCCCAAAGGATGCTAGAGTGGCTCAACAAACTCCCCCTCCTGCACAGGGATGGGTTGGCCAGCCATCTCAACAACCAAATGGGTCTGGTGGGTCAGTTGGCTGGGCAAAACATGTAAAGCGCCATAGAACAGATTCTGGGAAGAGGAGACCAAGCCATATATAGATTTTTCAAGGAGGCAAGGATGGTATATAATGGAAATGTTGCAGCTAGTTTCATGAAAAAGAGTTTTAGTGGCCCTTTACCTTTGATAGAGTTTAGCCCATACTGTTAGCATAGAGTTAGGTCCTCCTATGTATTTTACAGTTACCTCAAGGGGTTAAATTACAATGATCTACAGTTTTTGTTTGGGTGTCTGCATCTTGCAGGAACTGGTTCTTTTATTAAAGATGGCTTCAGAATCTCTTGTATAGTAACTGGTTAGTTCATAATCATATTAGTTCATGTTAATGGTTAAACATGATGTCTTGTTTATCTTGGAGGATAGTGAGAGGAACTAAATCCTCTAAAATGGCCACTGGAATAACCAGCAGCCTAAAGTTTTATTTTGTTGTGGATTTGAGTCTTCTTGAGATAATATCAAGTATAACAAACTTTTAATGTAGTTTCTATTAGTAACCCTTTGCATTGTTAATGAGCATGACATAGCACAAGACCGTTTAAATTATCTTCACACAAACAATGACTCGTCAATTGGGTTTGCATTTTAACCATTTCCTGATCAGTTTCAAAAGGTTTTACACAAAATAGTATTCACCACTCAATCCTCAAAATTATGCAAAAGCAAAGAATTATTGTTATTGGTCATGAGCAACAATTGGTGATAAATTATTTACATTTCATTATAAGACTCGTGCAAATTGTACATCTATCAAAAGCAAACTAAGATTAATTGTTGGGGTGAAGAAGAGTATTCTATCTTTTCACATATTACGTTAGTCAAAGGGGACTCAGTTTTATTTTTCTATTTAAAAGGGTTTAGTTTGGCAAGTGAAGAATATAGACGTAAGAAATTAATCGTTGTGGAACTTTAAGAGGGTTCTTTTCCCAACTTCTAACATGTATTCCAAAGCAACATAAAAGTAGGTAAGCTTCACCATACTCGAGAGGTAACTTCTTTGATTTTACCAGTTTGGTAATATCATGATAGTTTACTACATTTGGATCCCATCGCTGTCTTACATTTTTGTGAGCTACTACAATTATTTCACAAGCAAGAATTAACTTTCTCAATTGCATCCTTGTTTTAGTGAAGATTTGCACTCTATTTTTCAAGAATACATTATTTCATGTTAAATTAACCTGTAAGTCCTGTACTTTTTTAGTAAATCCTTATAGTTCAAAATACCGGGTCCCAATTGTTAGTGTTTACTCTATCATGACTGATATATAGTTTTTATACTAATCTGTAAGAACTTATTTAAAAAATTTCCTAAAGTATAAGCTAGTAAGTTAATTAACTTTAATTTTATTCAATCCTAAACACAACATACTAGGCCATATGTATGGAAAAAACTTTGTTGGTAGAACCAAAATCCACTTCGGTAATCTCTACGTCTCGAAAAGATTAGTTTTCAGTTGTCGGTTGATGGATACATTGAGGAAACTAAAAAAAAAAAACAAAAAACAAAAAACAAAAAACAAAATATACTAGGCCAAACAGCACAATCCATGCCTTGAAAGAGCTGAAATAACATTGCATCAGGAAATCAATGGTACATTATTTACAGTGACAGAAAATTAACTGGAAGGGGAATTTTCCCTCTTATCCACAATCAAGTTCATTACATGTAGTGAGGTGAATTAACAGAACTAGAATTATGAAAGAGGGCAAGCATATCAAGCTAGGGATCTGCTTTACCAGCTACCTGTTCATCATCAGAATCATGTTCATCTTCACTCATCTCCTCATCACTAGACTTCTCTCCAGTGGCTTCCCCTATGTCTTCCGGTTTAGCATACCTCTCACAGTACTCTGACATTGAAGCCAATGACACATCAGTGAAGTGTTAATTAAATGAAAAGAACTTCATTGTTTCTGACATAAAAACCAAAAATTATACCAAAATTGGTGTTCTCAGAAGAATTCAAGGCTAGATAAAAAAAAAAAACAATTGGATTCAAAGACTTCCTGTCCATGAAATTTTGGTGTGATGATTAAGCCACCATCCACATTGGCTCGAACTAAGTGTTTCATGAAATGACAAAACACGTAGATGCAGATTGCCACTTTATTTGGGAAAACATTCAACAAGGATTTGTATCAACTGGACATGTTAGAACTCTAGAACAAATAGTTTACATCTTCTCAAAGGCAGTTAATGGGATTACGATGGAGCACCTTTGTAACAATTTGGGCATGATTAACATCTTAATTATTATTTCTTTTCCCTCAATTTATTCATACTTTTATTTGGCTTCATAGACTGTCGACCTCAACTAGTTTGGGATAAAATTATGCGCAAAGAGTATTTATGTCCTCTACTATATTGTACATGCTACCTCACTAAAATTAGAAGTAAGTGGACTCTTGTGGTATGTTGGGTGGAGTAAATGCAGTTAGGTGAGTCATGTTTTTCTAATTTTAGTGAGTGTAGCACTGAATCCTTGGTGCTAGAGGAGTACTGGAAATTTATCTCTATTTTACACACATAAACTAATACAAGAAATGCATATTCAGAAAACAAGAAACCAGAAAGGGTCAGTACCTTTAATCCTTTGATCATAAGTAGCTTTGTCACGCATCATTAAAGCAGCAGCTTCTTCATTCATGGGGGATGATGGATTGGGATACAGAAGAAGTTGTGGTAGAAACACCTCAAATACATTAACAAGATCTGAAAGAAAATAGATTTTGACATTATAAAATGAACCAAAAATGCAAAAATGTAAATCTTTGAACAAAGTCACAAATTTTCTCACAGAATTTAACAAATTTCATTACCAAACATGGGGCTCCAGGATTGATTGATAACATCCAGACAAATTGATCCTGACCTGAAATTATTGTTACCCAAGATGATCAGATCAGACGTGCAATTATTCTTAAAACTAAATACAAAGGTAAACTACTCAACACAAACATTTTCAGAGCATTACTAATGTATATGCTTACCTCTCATCAACATTTGGGTGATAGATCTTATTGACAAAGCCAATGGAAGGAGATTTATAAGGATAAGCATCCGGCAACTCAACTTTTACTTTCCACACACCACCATGATAAGGACCTGCCACAAGTCATCACATGGAAGAAAAGAATATTGAAAAAAAAAAAAAGGTGCATAACAAGAAGATTGATAAGGATCTCAAACCAGGACAGCACAACAAGCAAAGGGAAAATAGGCAATTATCATTCTAAATTCGGTACAGCTAACAACCAACAAAAATTCAACTATACCAAAAATTCAGACTAAGAACTCCACAATAAGCAAAAGGGAAATCAATAAGAAAACTGACAGAGATTTCTTTGTAGAATTAAAAAAAGAAACAAAAACAATATCTTTCCCAAATCTATTTGCAGAATGCACAGAGAAATCATTACAAGAAACAGAACACCAAAAAATCTATATTCTGTACATGGTCAAATAACTATATCCAGAAAGAAACACCAAACAAAAAAAGAAAAAAGAAAAAAGGCAAAGACCCTTCAAAGCAAAGCATCTTCAATAGGTAAAAAATTCATCAGAAGCACAAGAACAAGAAACAAAGATACAGAAAAAAAGAGAATTTACTGTCTTTGGGTCCATGGAAATGGACATAAAACTCTTGCATTCCATCATTAACCGTCTCCACCTTGTAATCACTCATCATCCTAGAAGAACAAAAAATAAATAAATAAATCAATCAATCAATCAATAAAAAAAAGAGAGACTACGTGAAACCCAATTGGAAAAAGATTGAAGCTTTAATAAAATCATAAAGAAAAAAAATGGTTTTGAGGATTACAGCTTCATCAAGTCCATCTCTCGCCGCTTGCTTGGAGAAGACATGGTTTTTTTTCTCTGTATTCTTTTTGTTGTTCTTGGTTTTCTTCTCTTCTTTTAGACTTTAGCAAGTGGAGAGAGTTGAGAAAGAGATGGGAAATTGGGAATGGCTTAAGCCTTTAAAGTAGTGTTGGACACAGTTGCACACAACTGAAGAAAGCAAAATTGTTTCATATGAATGTTATTAAGCACTAATCGGTAATTTATTATTGGATTAATGATCATTAGTCCTGTTAAATTAAATTAAATTCATATAATAAAAATAAATATAAAATTAGAAATATTATAAACAAGTATAATTAGTCTAATGATAATTCTTTCAAGTATATATTCATAATGATAATAATACTCACGATGATGATGATGATACAGCGGTATATTTCTAACGATACAGTGATAGATTTCCGATTACGACAGACAAAAATATTTTTATTTGGGGTGTTGTTACGGTAATTAGCTTCTTCATTTTTTAACTAATAATAATTTCGATAAGTCAGACAACAATACAGTGTTATTTTTTATATATGTTGCACCGATACCGATATGATAGGACACATTTTAATGTTATATAATATTTTTAATTTATGTAGTGTATATTATATTTAATATTTAATAATTTAACAAAAAAAATAAAACTAAACTCATAGGAGGAGACATAATTTTGAGAAATGGAGAAGATTTAACGGTGTTTGTAAAAAATTTGACAGAAATATTTAATTGTTAAAATTACATAGTAAAAGGAGGTTAATTGCAACAATTGAAAGTATGAGATGGTTTCTTGAAACACAATCTTAGTATAAGAGGGTAATGTATAATTTAGCCTAGAATTTTTTACTACCAACTTATTATCTATCTAATTAGATTAACATTTTCTCTCTCTTTAAAAACTTTTTAACATTCTTTCTCTTTGATCCAATGGTGATGTGATTGATAGTAAGTTAGTAACGAGAGTTTTTGGTAGTTAGAATATCCTCACTCAACTTATAATGTTCATCAATTTTGTAAAAACACATAAGATATCCAAAATGTTTATATTAAACTCAAAAAAATAGTAATCATAATCTAATAAATCTAATTGTACCAAATGAGTGCAACTCAGTTGGTAATTTGACGCTGAGTTAGTGGGGTTGGACATGTGTTCGATTCCTGCTGAATGCATTCTTGGGGAGGGGGCTGAACCTTTAGCCATCACTGCTCCTCCGCACTCCGGATTAGTCCCATAGCCGGCTCAAAGAGTCGAAGCTTGTGGGGATACCGGAGGGAGCCAACTCGCCTCAAAGAGGTAATTAGGGTTGGGTAACTCCAAAAATAAATAAATCTAATTGTTAGAACTCAAAATACAACACAACGTAACCTTTGAACCTTTTTTGAGTCTTTGCAACGAGTATTGGAGTGTCGGGAAGTGTCGGAGTATCGGTGAGTGTCGGAAAGTGTCGGACACAACACGTCAGGAATTTTGAAGTGTCGGTGCTTCATAGGTGCATATATTTAAAAAGAATAGGGTTATATTTACAAAATTTTTATTTACAAACTCTTATAAACTACACTAGGTTACACTATGTATTTTCGAGAGTATATAGTGTAATTTATAAAAATTTGTAAACGGATCATTCTCCATTTAAAAATGCGGAAACATTTTCTCATAGCATGAAATAATTTTTTTTATGCAACACAAAAAAAAGTTGTGACTTGTAACAAATAAAATTATCTCTTACATACACATAAAAATATGTATGAAATTTTTTTATCTCCTAGGTATTACACATTGGAATATCATTTTCTTAGTAAGTCTCTTGTCTAAGTTTACACAGAAGTATAGGGGTATTCAAAATCAAAACAATTTATATAAAAAAACATGAGTATAAAAAATAAAGAAATTGGATAAATTAAAAACCGAAAAAAAAATCAGATTGCATTTGTTTTTTAATATAAAAAATTATCTAATTCAAATTAAATCGTAAATTTATATTTTTTCAAATAATATTTTGCGTAAAATATTATTATGTTACTCATTTATATTGATACTTTATCATTCTACTTCAAGTGAAACCAATTTTCTTTGGATTTTTGTAATTAGGGCATTGAATTTGAACATTTATTATAAGATTAACCGTTTCTATTTGGAATTACAGTTTGAAATTTTAATCGGAGGTAGTCGGTGCCAATAATAATGATTGCCAAATTTAACAACTAATGATTTTTAAAGTATGTACATAGAATATTAATTTTAACTTTTATATTTAATACTTGAAATTGTAACTCCTAAAATTTGAATTAATAATTGAAACAAATGTTATTAAAATCGGCCTGGTCATTGACCCGGTCGCGAGGTACTGGGTTAGTGGGTCACTAGTTCAATAAGTGGATCACTGATTCAACCGTATGACCCGATAATTATATGTAATTTTATAATTTATATTAAATTATAGACATACTCAAATATCTAAAAAAATGATAAAAATTTCAATTATTTTAGTATAAAAAATAATAAATCACATATTATTATCCCATAGAGGAACAAACGAAAATATAATGATCGTGATCCAGACCTTTAGGTTCAGAAAATGACATCTCTAACTTTAAATCAAATCAATTTTTTTTGCATAGTACATAATTGAGATAATATTAGTGTTGTAGATACATAACTTATGTAAGTCAATAAGCAAAAAAATATTCAAATATGTCCATTATGATTTTTTTTTGAAAATAAAAATTTGAATTTTTTTTTAGGTCCAGGTCGGGTCACCTGTTAACCGACCGGGTCACCGATTTTCATGAAAATCGACCGAGTTGGACCGGGTCGCACCAGTTCTAATGCATGGCCGGTTCGTTGCTTCAGCCGGGCCGGATGTATGATCGATTTACCAGTTTTTGGGTCGACCCGGTCGGGTCGATCCGATTTGATTAACACTGATTGAAACCACCAAGTATGTGAATCAACATATAAAGGATTATTCCCACTTAATTTGTAGTGTCGAGTTTGAGTTCTAGAAAATATAATTGTGTTAAAATTTGATAAGAAAAAATTTGACCAGGGCTCATGTGATTCAACTCGACTCGAATCAAAGATGAACCGATAAATCGACGAATACAACTTAATTAGTAGTTTCGAATTCAAGTTCCTCTGAAAGTTTTGTCAAGGCTCATGTGGTCCTACACATCTTGAATCAGACTAGTCGAGTAATTGATGAATCAATAGATAATATTTTCAAATTTTGAAATTTAAATTAACATAAGCTTTTTAGAAAATATTAATTAAAATTAAATCTTAGATTAATATTCTTAATTGAAGATTTTAAAATAAATAAATTAAAAACATTTATACTTCTATAACTACGGTGCCATATACGTCGGCCACTTCTCCGTCGCCAAATACGTCACCAGTATTCTTTGGCCTTTATATAATTACACAGTGGAATTTCTCCTTTACGCTACTGTGTATAATTGAAATTGACATCTGTGTTTCTTTTTAACTGACTATGGGTTTTAAATATAACGCATCAAGGTACATCATCTCTCCATGTCACTCTTGGTATTATTAATGACTAGTTTTGAACTCCTACTGTTAACTTTGGGATTTTAAAATATAAAACGAAGATTTTTTATAAAGTTCCAAAATTGTTAGTTGATGGTGTTCTAAATTTTATTTCATATTCTAAAAAGGATAGGATATTGTAACAATTAATTAGTGTTATTATCAATGTTACTGTCAATCAATTTCACCATTAGATCGATTATGTTGATCAAACAGTTATATTTATTTTTATCTTTGTATGACTATGATTCCTGTTGCTACTCACGACAAGTGCACCGATCGTACAAGTAATATATGATTAAGTAAGAGATCGTTCCCACGAGGATTACGGTTCAAGCTCTAATTCACTATCGCAAACTTAGTTGGACAATCGAAAGTGTATTTGGAAACAGGATTTGAATTGCAAAATTAAAATATTAAATATTAAGCTAATTACTTGCAAGAATTAAAGACAAGAAATTAAAGATGTGATTTAACTAATAAAATAAAAACGTAGCTAGGGGTTCGATTTCATTTAATCTCCTTATTACGTTTGAATTCCTTCTTAATGTTAATTGTCCTTAGTATCAATCTAATCAATTCTTTCGCATGTTATTAGAGTTCAATCCCTTGTTACTCTAAAACCTTTACAAGATTGGAAGAACCCTAGTTCCCCGGTTATTCCCCAAGCATGCAAGCATTAAATTCAAGAATCTTAAAGATTACGCAAACCCTATGTCTATCCCTAGAATCATAACGTTTACGATGAAGTTATCAGATATGGATCACACACCAACATTCCTATTGTCATGCATTCACCGATGATCATTACATAAGATTCAAGCCTATATAAAGCATTAAGAACAGATAACTTCATTCATGATATAAAGGAAAATTAACACAGCGAATTGTTCAAAACATAATAAATCGACTAAAATCCATCTAACCCTAACTACTTAAAGAACTAGCCGAACATGGCAAAATCAAGAACAAAAGAAAATAGAAAAGCTCCCCCAAACTCCATAGATAATTGGTGGATCTTCAATATCTCCAGTGAACACTTGACGTTGATCCGTCTCCGCCCCTCACGAACATGAATCTGATGTTCCTCCGCGTTCCTTCAGCCTCTGAGCACCCAAGAGTTGTTTAGCAATGTAAAAGTTATGTATTTCTGGTCCCCAATGGCCCTTTTATTGGCCAAGAGTTCGTATCCTAGTAGAAAACTCGAATGTGCCTAAGTTGGATCTGTCGGGGCGCTTAAGCCTGTTGTAGCGCGCTTAAGCGCCCTAGGACAATGATTTCTGACTCGCGTTGCGCGCTGAAGCTCTCTGAAGGGCGCTTAAGCGCGCTCCTCGCGACAACTTTTTCTTCTTGTGGCGCGCTTAAGCCCTGAGTTGGGGGCTTAAGCGCCCAGAGACAGTAGCTATTTGCGTTTTTAGGGAGCTTAAGCTTCTGAATGGGGGCTTAAGCTCCCACTCTTAACAACTTGATAAGATCTTCAATCTTATTGTTTTTTTTGATCTTCTTCTATCATCTCTTGATCTCATCTTTTCTAGTTGTGATCTCTATTTATCCAATCTTCATCTTTGACTCCTTTTGTCAACAAATCCCTAAAAAAT